AGCAGAGAGCTGGACAGGGAGAGAAGCAACCAGGACAGAATCCGGCGCCTGCCCCAACCGGGACTACAACCCGGTGTGCCGGCGCCGCAGGCCTGTTGAGCCATGGTGCCAGCCTTCCATTTGTGGTAACTTCTAACAGAGATATTCCTTTTCTCCATGTCATTCTCAAACATGCTTCAACTCCAAGTTCCACATCACATTGGTATCATTAAAAAAAAAAAGATTTATTTATTTATTTGAAAGGCAGAGTTATAGAGAGGCAGAAGCAGAGAGAGAGAGAGGGGTCTTCCATCCGCTAGTTCACTCCCCAGATGGCCACAACATCCAGAGCTGCGCCGATCCGAAGCCAGGAGCCAGGAGCTTCTTCCGAGTCTCCCACGTGGGTGCAGGAGGCAAGCACTTGGGCCATCTCCTACTGCTTTCCCAGGCCACAGCAGAGAGCTGAATCAGAAGTGGAGCAGCTTGGACTCGAACCGGCGCCCACATGGGTTGCTGACACTACAGGTGGCGGCTTTCCCCGCTTTGCCACAGCACCGGCCCCTCATATCATTTCTTTGTGAAATTTTTATTCTTTAGCTGCATTATCTTCTTTCTCCTATTCTTATTAATTACATTGAGAAATGTAAGGTAAAAGCATGGGTCAGGGGAGACTGGTGGTGTGTGTGTGTGTGTGTGTGTGTGTGTGTTTTGACAGGCAGAGTGGATAGTGAGGGAGAGAGACAGAGAGAAAGGTCTTCCTTTTGCCGTTGGTTCACCCTGCAATGGCCACCACCGCTGGTGCGCTGCAGCCAGCGCACCGCGCTGATCCGAAGGCAGGAGCCAGGTGCTTCTCCTGGTCTCCCATGGGGTGCAGGGCCCAAGCACTTGGGCCATCCTCCACTGCCTTCCCGGGCCACAGCAGAGAGCTGGCCTGGAAGAGGGGCAACCGGGACAGAATCCGGCGCCCCGACCGAACTAGAACCCAGTGTGCAGGCGCCGCGAGGTGGAGGATTAGCCTATTGAGCCGCGGCGCCGGCCAGGGAAGACTGGTTTAAAAAAAGTACATCAGGGGCCAGCGCTGTGGTGTAGTAGGTTAATCCTCCTCCTGGGGCACCAGCATCCCATATGGGCACCGGTTCTAGTCCCGGCTGCTCCACTTCTGATCCAGCTCTCTGCTGTGGCCTGGGAATGCAGTAGAAGATGGCCCAAGTGCTTGGGTGCCTGCACATGCGTGGGAGACTGGGAAGAAGCTCCTGGCTCCTGATTTCAGATCGGCGCAGCTCCGACCATTGAGGCCATTGAGGAGTGAACCAAAGGACAGAAGACCTTTCTCTCTGTTTCTCCCTCTCATTCTCTGTAACTCTACCTCTCAAATAAATAAACAAAATCTTTAAAATAAAATAAAAATAAACTAAAAAGTACACGATCCTCATGATCAAAATGATAATATAAATAAAAATAAATTTTTCAAAACTTGTTATTGTTGAATAATTTTCTCTGCATTTTTATAAGTAGCTCATGAGTGCTAATCTATTTTCCTTTCTGTATATGTCATCTAACCAATGAAGTAAAAATAGACTTTCTACTTTTTGTTCTCTATTCAAAATTAATTGGAATCTATTTTTAGTAACCTTTCTAACGAATGAAGTTTATTTGGAGAAGCTTTTGGCAGATTGTTTTGCATGTTGGCAGGTGGTTTGGTTTGGTTTTGGGGTATTTTAAAATTATTCTCCAACTTCTAACTAAATCCTGAGGCATTATGTGCTCTTACAGTAAATTGTTAATTTTGATTACTTTCTTTTTAAGAGTTTTAGGATAATTTTCATGCCTTCTTCTGGCTGAGAAACAGTGGAATTAGTCAGACCTGGGATTAAATTCTGATCTTGCCATTCCATGGCTTTATTTTCAGTAAGCAAATTCATGTCTCTGTCCTCTTTTCTGTAAAAGAAAAAGGATAGTAATGGTGATAACTTCAAAGGTTGTAGTGAGAAATAAAGAAGATAAAGTGTGGAAACTTCTGTATGAACAATGCTTGGCACAAGGCAAACACTTAAAAGTGTAAGCTTTATTATTGTAGACTAGAGGCTGACAAACTTTCTATAAAGGGCCAGTATTTTAGGCTTTGTGACCATACACTGTCACAATGACTCAGCTCTGCTGAGAGGTGTGGAAGCAGCCATGGACTCAGTATACACAAATGAGCGTGGCTGTGCAACAGTAAATGTATTAATAAAGACAGATGGGCGGCCATGATTGGCCCATGGGCTGTAGTTTGTTGGCCTCTATGCGAGATTATCATAAAACTAACAAGGAAATAATGTATGGAGAATGTAAGAATTCTACAGAGCTCTGAGCTCTTCTGCAAAATGGATTACTAAGAGCATGTAGACTGATTAAAGACTTTAGTTTATAACACCAAACACTTAAAAATCTTTGTCTCACTTGGCTAATCCTCCGCCTGTGGCGTCGGCACCCCGGGTTCTAGTCCTGGTTGGGGCGCCGGATTCTGTCTCGGTTGCTCCTCTTCCAGTCCAGCTCTCTGCTGTGGCCCAGGAAGGCAGTGGAGGATGGCCCAAGTGCTTGGGCCCTGCACCCGCATGGAAGACCAGGAGGAAGCACCATTTTGGGGGTGAACCAACGGAAGGAAGACCTTTCTCTCTCCCTGTCTAACTCTGCCTGTCAAAGAAAAAAAATTATCTTTGTCTAAAACATGTTCTGCTGAGTTACCATATTTTATAATGAAAATCTCAGCTACCAGGAACCATAAAAAGCAGGTTGGTTGAGAACATAGTAGGAAATATTCCTCTTTATCTTTTGAAACACAGTATTATAAAAAATAATGTGGAGTGTGCATTTAGCCTAATGGTTAAGATGCCTGCTTCCAAGCCGGCGCCGTGGCTCAATAGGCTAATCCTCCGCCTGTGGCACCGGCACACCGGGTTCTAGTCCTGGTTGGGGCACCGGATTCTGTCCCGGTTGCCCCTCTTCCAGGCCAGCTCTCTGCTGTGGCCAGGGAGTGCAGTGGAGGATGGCCCAAGTGCTTGGGCCCTGCACCCCATGGGAGACCAGGATAAGTACCTGGCTCCTGCTATCGGATCAGCACGGTGCGCCGGCCGCAGCAGCCATTGGAGGGTGAACCAACGGCAAAAGGAAGACCTTTCTCTCTGTCTCTCTCTCTCACTGTCCACTCTGCCTGTCAAAAAAAAAAAAAAAAAAAAAAAAAAAAAAGCCTGCTTCCCACATCAGAGTGCCTGGGTTCAATTCCAGACCCTATTCCTGATCCAGGCTTCCTGCTCACGCAGACCCTGTGAGGCAGCAGTGTTGGGCGAAGTTGTTGGGTCCCTTCCACCCACATAGAAGATGTGGACTGAGTTCCTGGCTCAGTTTGAGCCTGGTCCAGCCCTGACCATTGTGGACATTTGGGGAATGAGCAGCAGTGGGTGGAAGCTCTCTGACTCTGTCCCCGTTTCTGGCTCCATCTGCCTCTCAAATAAAATGAAAGAAAGGATAATCTAGCCACCTTTTACATATTCTGGTTTTGTGGGCCAGGATTTTGATCAGGGATCATTTTTATTATTCTTTTGGCACTCACTGCAGTCATTTGTTGAATTTCACCTAATGGATGGGCTGCTGTGGGTGTTCCAAGATGGGTCATTCATATGTTCTGGTACCTTGATAGGGGAATTTAGAAGGTTGGGCCTACCCACTGTCAACAAGAGTGCCTACTCAGCCTCATATCATACTACTACTAATAATAATGACCTTTGTTAAAAAATAAAAAGTGCTTGGATAGCATTATGAATTTCAGTTCCTGTGTTACCTTGCTGTGGTCAAGACTTATCTGGGGCACACGGGACCGCTGCTGGTACTCCCTAGATTATTGTGCTTTGAGTCTGCTCTCTTTGTCTGGTTTTGTAGGCCAGTTCTTGGTAATGTCTGGAGTGTGGACTTGCTATGTAGGTGACATCTTACTATCCAGGTTCTTGATTTGCTATGTGTAAGCCACCTTGCCGGGCACCACAAAGTACTGTTAAAGAAACCTCAAATTGTGCATAAGAAAAAAAAGGAAATCGTTTACTATGTGGCAACATGGATGGACCTGGAAGACATTATGAAATAAACCAGTCACATAAGGACAAATGCTGTATTGTCTCATTTGTATGTGCTATCTACAGCAGTCAGACTCAGCAGAGTGTTGGTTTCCAGGGGTTCTATGGAGGAGAAATGCGGACTTGCTATCCAAAAGGTATAAAATTTCAGTTCCACAAGATGAATAAGTTCTGCTGTACTGCCTTGTGCCTGTGGTGGACTGTGCTGTATTGAACACTTAAATTTTGTTTGAAGGATAGATCTCTTGTTGATTGCAGTGGTTTGTTTGTTTTTGTTTTGTTTTGGAGAAATGACTTAGGAACTAACCACTTGGGGAAAAATAAAAGGTGGTAAAATATCAAAGCTTGCAATGTTTCTCCTCTGTTCATTTTCCTCCTTGCCCATTTTCTTGGTGAGACAATACTGTCAGGAGGCCAGCGGATGGGGCCAGGCAGGCACTAGGAAGGGATAGATTTGGAGGGGACCCCAGGCAGAAAGTCAAGCAGTAGACTTGACCTAAAGCTGTTTGCACACCACAGTCACCCTGGCTTTGATTGAATTATATGCTTGTCTGGAGTGGCTCCTGTTGTGGTTGCTAAAGCTCCCAAGCTATTCTTTGTATCATTATGCAGAATTAGGGGGTCATGTGCATTGCCCTCCACTACTCAACCTATCACCACTGTTCCTTGGAGTCTTTGGAATGGGGATTGTACACATATCTTCTTGCTGCTTCTCTGTTACAGCGAATCGACAGTTAGAGCTCTGGGTGATATTGTTCAGCATCATGTTACGTGCGTGTATTTAACCTCTCTGACCTGTACTGTAGATGTGAAGCTGTGCAGGAAACAGTACTCCCTCGGCGTGCTGTGAGTGCTGAAAGTGCTCAGCTGTGATCATTTCTGGGTAACCATCTTCCAAACTTCCTTTTTCAGAAACCGATTCAGCAGTACAGAAAGAACATAGAAACCAGACACCTGCTCCATCTGCAGCTCAAACTTCCGCCCCTTCTAAGTACCACCGGACTCGCTCTGGAGGAGCCCGGGATGAACGATACCGATCAGGTGAGCAGGACCTGCAGAATTACCAGCTGAATAACTTTTACTGACTGCAACATGAGCTGTGCATACTAAGAGCTTCTAGAGTTTGACACTTTTCCTTTGAGATACCAGCAAGTCTACAGTAATTTCAGTCATAGGTAATTCATTGTGTACTGTGTATCAGATGTGGTAGATACTCAGCATTTGCTGGAGATGCAGCAACAAATAAGACCATTTCTGCCTTTCAGGAATGTAACAGTTTAACAAGAAAAGCTGGGATGGGCATTTGGCCTAGCAGTTGAGACACTGGTTACGATGTCCACATCCCACATCAGAGTACCTAGGTTAATTCCTGGCTCAAGCCCCTGATTCTAGCTTTCTGCTAATACAGATCCTGAACGGCAGCAGTGGTCACTTAAGTAATCGGGTCCCTGCCATCCACATAGAAGACCTGGATTGGGATCTGGGTCCCTGGGTTTGGGCTTGGCCCTGCACTGGCTGCTCTGGGTATTTGGGGAGTGAACTGGAAGAAGATAGCTCTGCCTGCCTGCCTGTCCATCTAACTGCACCCAGATAAATAAAAAATAAGGTAAAATAAAAAGAAGAGAAGCCAAACAAGCAGAGACAGGTGAACAAATAAGTCGGTAAGAGAGGGAAGGGGTCAGTTTCCAGGGAAGGACGGGGAGAGCTCAGTGGACCTTGTTTGAAGAGACGTGTCCTGTGTTTGCCGGAGACATTGAGAAAGTAGCCCTTTAACTGACGGAGCTGAAACAAACTCACGGTGAAGTTCAGGTTCCTATACTCTATCTCTTCCCACCCCAGAAGGACCTGTGGGAAGGAAGAGGCAAGGTGCTGTGGTTGCAGTGGGAGTTTGCTTCTGTTCATACTGTGCTGGGAACAGGCTGCCAGTGCCAGCAGTTCCCACTCAGATGAGCAGAGGAACAAGGCACAGAGGCCCAGTAGCACCTGTGATACAGCAGGCCCTTCCCATGCCCACTTTCTGTCCCCCGTCTCAGCACGTTTCTTCTGAGTACTAGGGTTAAGCTTGAAAAACGAACTGGAATGTTACTTTTCTTCATATTTTTGTTTTCCTGTAACAACCAAGGTTAACCTTAACTTTTTTTTTTTTTTTTAATTGAAAGCAGTTGTACAAAGGCACTTCAGGAAAGTTTGGGAAAATTGAAATTAAAAAATAAGTTTATTTTGATGCCTACAGGATAGCACATCTGCCTAGAAACTGCTTTAGACAGAATTAGGAAAGGGCTAGGTACTTGATGAACTATGTCAGCCAGTTTGTGAGCTGATTTAACTAGATGGGGATTGTCACACACTAGAGGAAGAGCAAAAAAACATCAATTTTAAAAAATGGTAAAAGTGATACAGTACCCCAGAATTTTCCTATGTACCTAGTCTGGTCATTGCTCTGGGAGGCTTGCTCAGAGAATAAGGCATGTACATAGACAAGAATTAGCTTGGGAAGTAGCACCAGATAGTGGATCCAGAAGTGGTTTATTATGGCAGGAACTTAGAGTGCAAAGGCCAGGTACCAGGCGTTATAGCAGAGCAGGTTTAGCTGCCACCTGCAACACCAGCATTCCATATCACAGCACTGGTTCAAGTCCTGGCTGTTCCACTTCTGGTCCAGCTCCCTGCTAATGTGCCTGGGAAAGCAGTGGAGGGTGGCCCAGATACTGGATCCCTGACATCCACATGGGAGATGGGGATGGAGTTCCTAGCTTTGGCCTGCCTGGTTCCTGGCTTTTGCAACCATTTGGGGAGAAGATCTCTCTCCTTTCCGCTGTCATTCTGCCTTTCAACTAGGAAACATTTTTTTTTTTTAAAAGGAAAATGCAAAGGCCAGAAAGAGATGGGAGATGAAGTTCAAGATTACCAGAGATCAAGTCTTCAGGAGTACTGAATGTCACTGAAGGATTCCAGCAGAATGGCAACATTGAGGTTTTCAATTGTTCTGGTAGCTCACTTTAGTGCAGACTGCCTGCCCCATCGCTGCTGGGTCCAGTGCCTGGCACAGGGCCCTACCAATGTGAACACCTACCCAGATATTTTGGAACAAGGAAGGAATAAAAGTAGTTATTAGTTGAGGCATGGAAGAAGCAAGACATTTCAGAAACTCTGGTTGGTTGTTTTCAGGAGCCCTGTGTCGCCTCTTGAGATTGAGTCAGGTTCAGCTGCTGTGGGGGTCCCATCAGCGTAGAGCGTTTCATCTTTGCTGTTTTCATCATTAGCCGTCTGGGAAGTGTGTGGGTTGTTTTTGTTTGTTTGTTTGTTTGTTTTTTGTTTTTTTTTTTTAAAGATTTATTTATTTGAAAGTCAGAGTTACACAGAGAGAGAAGGAGATGCAGAGAGGTCTTCCATCTGCTGGTTCACTCCCCAATTGGCTGCCATGGTCAGAGCTGTGCCGATCCGAAGCTAAGAGCCAGGAGCTTCCTCTGGGTCTCCCATGCGGATGCAGGGGCCCAAGGATTTGGGCCATCTTCTACCGTTTTCCCAGGTCATAGCAGAGAGTTGGATTGGAAGTAGAGTAGCTGGGGCTCAAATCGGCGCCCATATGGATGGGATGCTGGCACTGCAGGCGGTGGCTTTACCTGCTGTGCCACCGCGCAGGCCCCTGTCTGGGAGTTTTATGGTTTTTTTCTTTTGTTTGTTTGTATTTTACAGGATGTAATAAAAGGATGAATGAGCACCAAAAGATGATCTTCCTTTGTCCATGCTAATCATGTATAGAACACTACAGTGGCTCATTTAATGGTGTAAAATTTTGACCTTTACTTACTAAAACCTGTGATCTCCAGTCTCTTTTTTTTGTCCCAATTCTCTTGGATTACCCTAACTATTAAGAGATAGCATCTGTGAATTATTTACCAGTGAGCAGACTGTAGAGACTGTAGGGATACTGATGAGTGTTTAACCCTCAGGTTTGCATATGTATTTCACTTTGATTTTTTTGCTTGTTTGTTATTTTAAGAGTGGTTGCAAGAAATCGGCCAGAAAGGAAGTGAGGAAGGGAAGGAAGGCAGTTAACAAAACCTGAGTGTATTTAAAGTGCAGCTGTACTGTGAAGACAGCGAATGTGACAGAGGCGTGCAGACATAGATTTGGGGTGAAAATATCACTTTTCAGTGTGTTTGGGATTGCTCCACTAAATAATAAAAGAAAGTTCAGCACATTGGAGAAATTTGCAGTCTCCAATATTTCTAGCTTCTGTGCATCAGAAGAAATCGATGGCACCAGCAGAGGTAGTGTGGGTAAGCTGCAGTTGGTGGGAGCTGAACTTCTATTGTCTTTGCTACTGCGGTCATAGGAAGGGTTGCAGTTTGTGTCAGATGCAAAAGTAGCTTGAGAACGTGGGGCATGCTTAGTAAAAGTAGCAAAAATTCAGAATAAAGGGGCCAGCGTTGTGACGTAGCGGGTTATTCCACTTCTGATCCAGCTCACTGCTAATGGCAGTGAAAGGCAGCAAAAGACGACCCAGCTGTACCCTGCCACCCACATAGGAGACCCAGATGAAGCTACTGCCTTCAGCCTGGCCCAACTCTGGTCGTTGCAGCCATCTGGGGAGTGAACCAGCAGATGGAAGATAGATCAATCAATCGATCTCTTTTTCTCTGTCTCCCTCCTTCCATAACTCTAGTAAGTAAATAAATAAATTTTTTAGAAAAAATTTCAGAATAAAGTGGCAGGTACACAGAAATGAGTACAACTGGAAAATCCTTTCACGTGGTAGAACCTTTTTTTTTTTTTTTTTTTAAGATTTATGTATTTGAAAGATAGAGTAACAGATCTTCCATTTTCTGGTTCACTTGTTGGAGTCTTATTAGCACCTACAACATTTCAATCATAATCTTATCCAAACCGACTTAGCATTTTATGCCTGAGACATAACTGCAAAGAGCTTATATTCATGCAGAGTTCGTGTCACCTGGTCTGCTGCTGTTCTGTGTGCTTAGTCAACAGGGACAGTACATTTCACATGTTCTATTTATTTAGCATCCTTTTTTCCTGCATATCAAGGCATGACACACGTACCTACACATGTGTGCTATAGTCCTAAGTGCAGAAAATATACAGCTGAATGGCCAAGACAGACAGTCATCCTTTGATGTTAATCTCAAGAAATTAGCCACTCTAAACAAAACAACAAAAATAAAACAAAAAAGACCTTTAAGGGAGTATTTGTATCACCTTATTCAACTCAGACATTAGTGTTGGAAAATGATACCCAGCTTCTATGTGCTTCTGACAGAGATGTCGAAAGTTAGCCATGTCTAGGGACTGAACGTCGGAAGTGATTTCTTTATCAAGAATCAAGATGAATTGTGTGCTGGTGAATGAGTCACATTCAGTTTAGAAAGCTGCCTGTTCTTATCGATGATAGCCTTTGCTACTAGAGTAGCTGTGAACAACTCCCCTTGACACCAGTGGACGGGCCAAGATGGATCCTAACAGAAGATAGCTGAGTTGGGTGATTTGATTTGTTTGTAGTCTGATGCTACAAATCCTTGTGGCAGAGAAGAACACTCTCCATAATTATTAGTTAATTATCCAAAGAATACAGACCTTCTAAAACTTTGTTGATAGAAATAATTTCTTGGCTTTGTCAAGTTTGTTATCACATGTTTCATATCCCATCTAAAAAATACTTTTGGAAGATGTTGTTTTTAATTAATGAGTGTGAGCATTTTATTTATTGTTGCCATGTTTTTAAGAAAGTGCTGTCAGTATAAGTGGATAATCATTGATTTCCCATGACAACTAAGAACCATATTGCTTCTGATACAAATATAATATAAAAGGGGCACCTTTCAGGGCTGGTATTATGGTGTGGCAGGTGAAGCCGCCGCTTGCAGTGCTGGCATCCTATATGGATGCTGGTTCGAGTCCTGTCTGCTCCACTTCTGATCCAGCTCTCTGCTGTGGCCTGGGAAAGCAGTACAAGATGGCCCAAGTCCTTGGGCCCCTGAACCCACGTGAGAGACCCAGAAGAAGCTCCTGGCTCCTGGCTT